ATTTTTAAATTTTGACAAATTTTCGTATTCAGCCAGCTGAACTCCAAAATTATTTTGAAAACTCAAAATTTAACTTGCTGAATTGAAATAGAATGTACTGGGTATAAGGGGTTTGTAATTAACATTTTTAAATTTTGACAAATTTTCGTATTAAACTAGCTAAATTCCAAAATTTTTTTCGAAAGCTCAAAATTTAACTTGCTGAATTGAAATAGAATGTACTGAATATGAGGGGCTTGCAATTAATATATTTTAATTTTGACAAATTTTCGTATTAAGCAAGCTGAATTCCAAATTTTTTTCGAAAGCTCAAAATTTAACTTGCTGAATTGAAATAGAATGTACTGAGTAATAGGGTTTTGCAATTAACATTTCTAAATTTTTACAAATTTTCGTATTCAGCTAGCTGAATTCCAAATTTTTTTCGAAAACCCAAAATTTAACTTGCTGAATTGAAATAGAATGTACTGAGTATGAGGGGCTTGCAATTAACATATTTAAATTTTTATAAATTTCCGTATTCAACTATCTGAATTCCAAAATTTTTTCGAAAACTTAAAATTAAACTTGCTGAATTGAAATAGAATGTACTGAGTATGAGGGGTTTGCAATTAACATTTTTAAATTTTGACAAATTTTCGTATTAAACTAGCTAAATTCCAAAATTTTTTTCGAAAGCTCAAAATTTAACTTGCTGAATTGAAATAGAATGTACTGAGTAATAGGGGTTTGCAATTAACATTTTTAAATTTTGACAAATTTTCGTATTAAACTAGCTAAATTCCAAAATTTTTTTCGAAAGCTCAAAATTTAACTTGCTGAATTGAAATAGAATGTACTGAATATGAGGGTTTGCAATTAATATATTTTAATTTTGACAAATTTTCGTATTCAGCTAGCTGAATTCCAAATTTTTTTCGAAAACCCAAAATTTAACTTGCTGAATTGAAATAGAATGTACTGAGTATGAGGGGCTTGCAATTAACATATTTAAATTTTTATAAATTTCCGTATTCAACTATCTGAATTCCAAAATTTTTTCGAAAACTTAAAATTAAACTTGCTGAATTGAAATACAATGTACTGAGTATGAGGGGTTTGCAATTAACATTTTTAAATTTTGACAAATTTTCGTATTCAGCCAGCTGAACTCCAAAATTTTTTCGAAAACTCAAAATTTAACTTGCTGAATTGAAATAGAATGTACTGAGTAATAGGGTTTTGCAATTAACATTTCTAAATTTTTACAAATTTTCGTATTCAGCTAGCTGAATTCCAAACTTTTTTCGAAAACTCAAATTTTAACTTGCTGAATTGAAAATGAATGTACTGAGTATGAGGGGTTTGTAATTAACATTTTTAAATTTTGACAAATTTTCGTATTAAGCTAGCTAAATTCCAAAATTTTTTCGAAAACTCAAAATTTAACTGGCTGAATTGAAATAGAATGTACTGAGTAATAGGGTTTTGCAATTAACATTTTTAAATTTTGACAAATTTTCGTATTCAGCCAGCTGAACTCCAAAATTATTTTGAAAACTCAAAATTTAACTTGCTGAATTGAAATAGAATGTACTGGGTATAAGGGGTTTGTAATTAACATTTTTAAATTTTGACAAATTTTCGTATTCAGCTAGCTGAATTCCAAAATTTTTTCGAAAACTCAAAATTTAACTTGCTGAATTGAAATAGAACGTGTTGAGTAATAGGGGTTTGTAATTAACATTTTTAAATGTTGACAATTTTTCGTATTAAGCTAGCTGAACTCCAAAATTTTTTCGAAAACTCAAAATTTATCTTGCTGAATTGAAATAGAATGTACTGGGTAATAGGGGTTTGCAATTAACATTTTTAAATTTTGACAAATTTTCGTATTCAGCTAGCTGAATTCCAAAATTTTTTTCGAAAACTCAAAATTTACCTTGCTGAATTGAAATAGAATGTACTGAGTGTAAGTGGTTTGCAATTAACATTTTTAAATTTTGACAAATTTTCGTCTTCAGCTAGCTGAATTCCAAAATTTTTTCGAAAACTCAAAATTTAACTTGCTGAATTGAAATAGAATGTACTGAGTATAAGGGGTTTGCAATTAACATTTTTAAATTTTGACAATTTTTCGTATTCAGCTAGCTGAATTCCAAAATTTTTTCGAAAACTCAAAATTTAACTTGCTGAATTGAAATAGAATGTACTGAGTACAAGTGGTTTGCAATTAACATTTTTAAATTTTTGACAAATTTTCGTCTTCATTTTTCTATGAAAATTTGGTCCATATATATATATATATATATATATATATATATATATATATATATATATATATATATATATATATATATATATATATATATATATATATATATATATATATATATATATATATATATATATATATATATATATGGACCAAATTTTCATAGAAAAATGAAGACGAAAATATCCTACATCGTGGTAACATAATGGTACGTGGTAATATAATTTTCAAAGAAAACTATTTATTTTTTAGAAAGAAAAAGGACCATCCATGCTTCAATAAGAAAGGTTGCTCAAATTCAAAGAAACTAGGAAAAATGCAACTCTGTACCGGAGTCTTATAGTGTCAAATGAACCTTAAACATGCAACAATTGGTTTTGTTTATTTTACATTTTTTTGCAAAACTACTATATTGGGAAAACCCCATACTGGAGTTTCACCACAAAACTGAATCCAAGATAGAGAGTCAATATTGTATTATTGCAAAATTATACATTTTGTTATCGTGTTACAGTTATCGTGGAAATTTTGCATTTCTGTTGGCCCCTAATACTAAGCACAATTTTCTCCTATTCGGCAAGTTTTCGAAAATATTTTGCTATTACATTTTTTTTTTAATTTTAATTGCAAAATTTTGGAATTCAGATTGCTGAATACAACAATTTGTATAAATTTTAAAATGTTAATTGCAAACCCCTAATACTCAGTACATTCTATTTCAATTCAGCAAGTTAAATTTTGAGTTTTCAAAACAATTTTGGAACTCAGCTAGCTGAAAACGAAAATTTGTCAAAATTTAAAAATGTTAATTGCAAACCCCTATTACTCAGTACATTCTATTTCAATTCAGCAAGTTAAATTTTGAGTTTTCAAAACAATTTTGGAACACAGCTAGCTGAAAACGAAAATTTATCAAAATTTAAAAATGTTAATTGCAAACCCCTAATACTTAGTACATTCTATTTCAATTCAGCAAGTTAAATTTTGAGTTTTCGAAAAATTTTGGAATTCAGCTAGCTGAATACGAAATGTAGTCAAAATTTCAAAATGTTAATTGCAAAACCCTTAATACTCAGTACATTCTATTTCAATTCAGCAAGTTAAATTTTGAGTTTTCGAAAAAATTTTGGAATTCAGCTAGCTGAATACGAAAATTTGTCAAAATTTAAAAATGTTAACTGCAAACCTGGGTTATCATGAGACAAATTTGGACCTATCAAATTATACATATCCCCTTCAATCAAAATTTTTTACAGAAAAAATGTCTGCCTTAAATGAGTTTTATTTTTATATTTATTAGGCGACTGATATTTCTCAGTCCAATCTATCAGGCCCAAGGCGCTAAGAATTATTTCTTTAATTTGCTTTCAAAGAACACATATTTCAAAGAACAACATATTTTTCTATGAAAAATTGGTCCACTCCATGAGGAACCGCTCTGGGGAAGGTACCAGCAGAAGTATATCTGCTGGTACCTTTCCCAGAGCGGGGAAATATTCACATCTGAATATTTCTATCAACACATTTTTTCTGGTACCTTCCCCACAAAGGGTCAAACTTTTGAATAACTAAAAAGTTTACAAAATCCGAAATAAACATCAGATTCTCCTTATATTTTACACATCCCCTTATTTCCACTAACAAAAGATTTGTTGTGCAGATAGGATATATCGGCCTCGCCCACAAACGCGGAAAATTTTGAATATCCATGAAGCTCATAAAACGTGAAATTAATATCCAATTCCATTCAAGACCTGGTATATCTCAATATTTTCATCAACACAAGATCTGTTATAAATATGGTAGTGATCGGACCATTTACTTTTGCTACCTGCACATAGGGTTCAAGATTATTAAAAAAAACGATCAAAAAAGCGAAATAAGCATTCATGTAATATGAAGGAAGTTACCAATATAGTCCAAACCTGACACGTCGTAATATTTATATCATATTTAGAACAGTGTTGGCTTGTTTGTTCGGGATACCATAGTATTTTGTTGTTGCAAAGTGGTAAACATTACCATCGTTCTCCACTAATAAACAAACGTTGTTTTTTATAAAAACAAGGATATAAATCTGTCGGCAAAACCGACAGATACTTTTTAACTTGTTATAAAAAAATATTTTACTAGAACAGATTATTACTACTACTTTTTATTGTTTGTTGTAATAAAATCGCAGTCCTGAATCGCAGACTTTTTACGATTTTTTAAACATTTAAAAACTTATACCTTTGCCTCATGTTTCATATAAACAATGAACAAATCTATACTTTCCCACAGTTAAGTGACTCAGTCCCATTGCACGGAAATTTTCGCCTAAATTTCTAAGTATGACGCTTTTGCCAAATAAAAGACATTTTTGACTAACTTTCTATTGTAAATTTAAACGGATGGAAATACAAACAAATTAATTTAAAAAAATCCCCTTTTTTATTAAATGTATCATAAACAATTTGAATAAAATTCTATACACATTTTTTGCCGATTTTCCTTCAGTTTTTCATAATAGAATGCATTTTATATAGGAATTTATTTTTGTTTTTGTAACTAAAGATCAATCAATTGGTTACAAGCAAACATACACATATGCTAATATGTTGCTTAACGTTGTCTATGTAGTACTATGAAGTATGTACAGATATTTGTGTGCTCGAATTTTTCCCGTTTCCCACATACTGCGTCATTTAGAAAACGAATTGCCGAGTATTGTCCTAAATTTAAGTTAAATGAAAACTAAACAAAATTCTTTGGCATTCACATGCATATAACACATACATGTATACGGCTATTAGATTTTTTATATCTGTATACGAATATGTACATATATTGGTTTTAGGTCTATTTCAAAATTAAAAAAAAAACAACAACAGCATATAAACTTAACAAATAAAAATTTTGAACAATTAAATATTGTTCTTGTTTTTGTGTTTTTTTATATTCCAATTCCATACAACTTTAGGTGTATGCATGAATGTTTGTGTGTATATTTAAAGCATTTAGAACCAGTGTGTGTAGGTATGTGTGCTTGGAATACGAAACATATTTTTCATTTCCCTGCCGATTTGGCTGACTTAGGCACTCGGCTTTTTAGCCCGATAACCAAAAATAGAACTTCCCACACGAACAATTGTGCTGCCCATTTCAATCTGGAAGATGAAGAAAAGATGAAAAAAATTATAACCAAACAACGCATAGCTGATTAGAAATCATCACCTTATTGTTTACATTTTCTAATATACACAAAAAAAAAAGAAGAACAGAAATAGATTTTTTGTAATGACTTACCGCCTTTTCGAAATCATCCGACATGCCCATAGAAACTTGAACATCTTTTTCATTCAATTGATTTTCTTCACAAATTTGCTTATGAACTTGCATCAGGGATATAAAATCGGGATTGGGACCCTTGGAATAATCATGACCAAACGCACCTATTGTCATAATGCCATTTAGATTGAGTTCTTTAAGATTTTCTTTGATGTATTTGTAAAGTTTTGGTGCATCGCTTGGTGCTACGCCGTTCTTGGCTATTTATGGATAATATAAAGAATTAGAAGTTATTTGATAGTTCTTTTTGTATAAAAGTCTTATGAAATCCTACCTTCTTCACCACTTGTATTGATTTGTATGAGCACATTAAGCGGTTGTTTGTTTTCCTTTTCGAATTTCTGCCATGCTGAGTTTAAATTATTGGCCAATTTTTCACTGTCCACCGTTTGAACCATGTGCATGTTGGGCAATTTTATAATCTGAAAAATACATTTTTTTTATAATAGGTATACCTTTGAAATAATAAGAACTCGTATAATCAACTCAAACTAAATATCTATATTGTTTAATAAAATTGGCGAATAAACCTAATTGGATTGGACACACAAATTGTGGTTAAATACTATTTTGTAGCATTTTGGAAATGATCCCCAAATATTTAGTATAAAATCGAGCAAAAACACAAATTTTCCTGATTGTGAAGTTATTCTACGGGTAGCAAATATAGACTTGCATGGGGTTATAGTTTAGGAAGTTCTTAATAACGTTTCTGACTTTTCATTGACAGTGATATCGTGGACATGTATGGTCAAATACATATGGATACATAACATATTTTACTTTTCAAATATTATTTTTAATTCCCTTAAGAAGGCCAAAGGTGTCAATAAGTCATGAACTTTTGCATGGTCTCGTTTGTCCGGTCAAAACCAAAAATAAATGACTAAAACATTATTACAGAACAAAATGGAGCATATTTATACATATGCATGTAATCTTTTTCTAGAAGCGTAGTATTCTGGAAAATATGGATTTAGACCTATGGAGATTGTGGGGTCAAAAACGGCTAACTATGGTTTGCTCTATACCACACTATGGCGAATATTGCTTGAAAACCTGATTTTTTATAGGTTGGTGTGAGATTCAATACAACTTTAGATATAGCTCCTATTTATCTCTTCCTTCGAGTTCAATTTTATTGTGTGTAATATTAACTCAAATAGGATAGATTTCTGCACATACGGCCGAATTCACCCTAGAAGCAATTACAGGGTGAGATGAAGAAACTGCAACCAAATTGTGACTGCTGTCATTTATTAGCCACTCGTCCGACAGTTATTAAAATTATTCCAGTGACAGCTCTTTATATTGTTTACAAGCGTAAAAAAGCATTTTGGTGAGAATTTTCCAAAAAAAAAGAGTTATTTGTGATGGTAATCAAGCGTGATAATGTGATTTCTATATATTTTGCTGGAAAACCACAAGTTGCTATCGTTAGAGCACTCCAGCATTTAAATGTGAATAAATCTTTTGTGTCTCGTACCATCGCTCGTTACCGTGATACTGGTAGCGTAGCCTGACGTCAAGGACGGAAGAAAACAGCAACATCAGCAGAAATGGTTCGAAAAGTAAAGAAGCGACTTAATTGAAACCCGCGTCATAGTGGCCGAAAAATGGCTCGTGAGCTGATCATATCGCAATATTCCATTCGGCAAATATTGAAAAATGAGCTGGGGGTACAGCCATTGAAATTCCAAAAAGTACAAGAAATTACACCGCAACAGAAAGAAAATGAATCAAAAGAGCTAAAGAGTTGCCTCTCTTGGCCGAAAGAGGTGAACTCATCTCCGACATTCGTTGTCCAGCAGTTAAGCAAAGAAAATTATAGAACTCAAACGCCGGCCATGGTGAGGGTGTGGGTCGCCATATGGTCGCTCTCCGCTCGTATTAATCGACCTTGATACCCCAAATCGGCATCAGAATAAATGCCGAATATTATGGCGAAAATATTCTGGCCGCAGACCTTGGACATTCCAAAAGGACTCAACACCATCGCACTCAGCACGCGCCACCGAAGAATGGTTACAAAATGAGTTTCCTCGCTTCTTTTCCAGCGCAGAATGGCCACCAAATCTCCGGATACCGATTTCGTTGGACTGTTGAGTCTGGAGTATTTTGGAAAGAAAGGTTGACACTAAAAAATACCAAAGCAAGCGCTTCGCCGAGAATGAGCCAAAATACCGCAGAGCAACATTCGGGCAGCGTTTGGCAGTTTCATAGGCCGTTTGAAGGCCATAATTCGTGGCCAGTTCGAACAAGTCTAAACTCATTCTAAAATTTGATGCCATTTCCGACATTTTTTGCTTTCAATTAATAATTTCTCACCCTGTATACGAGGCCATATGAAAACCTGGGACTATAAAGATGGTAGTCATTACGAACTGGAAACCCAAATTTCCAACAGTTCCATAAAACACTGTTGCTAAATTCATCAACATTTCGAGTTTTGGGAGGTTCAGTTCTAAGGGGACTATCAACAGTTACCTGTCGGTGAAAGTCGTACTTATTGCGAACTGTAAAATCATTGATGAAGCCAATATCGGGAGTAACGTTGTACGGTAACAATACGAAAAGGTGGACCTGCATAAGCAATTAAAAACCACAGAAAGGGTAGAAAAAGGTGTGCGAAAACCTCAAAAGAATCGTGGACCTTTATGTCACAGTTGTCAATTCAATGAACCCAAACTTTGTCTATTTACTTAATTCCGTTCGGAAGGCAGAGACGGACTTACATTTGAACGAAAATGGCTAAATCAACATAGAATGTTATGCTTATTATAAATATATATACTTTCTGGGTTATAAAATATGGTTGGATAATAATTGTTATGAATTGTATGGTGGAGGGTATATAAACACCTTATGTAGATTTTTTTGTTACATAAATATTAATCAAATTTTAATTTCATTTCAGGTGTGACACAAGTACAAGGAAACTATAGGCAAAGACCTAAAATGGTAAAGACTAGACAATATGCATTTTGAGCAAATGGTTTGTGTCTACAATACATAGAGTAACAGCTCATGACAGAGACATGTTAATATAAAACCTACAATTACAGAAACGGATAACAAATAAAAATTTGAAAAATCCGAAATATTGGTTTTAAAATTCTATTCCATGGACCTTTCCGAAAATTTGCACATTTCCTTAGCGGTTTAAATTAGTTAACATTGGTAACTATGTTGTTATGATATCGTAACAACAGAGGTATTTTCCCAGGGTTACCATATCTTGACTCTGTCTTGTCCTACCTTTACACTTCTATGTCTTTGCTATAGGTAAACAAAATACAATTTAAATACATCATTCTGTCTTATCTACAACTCATATAAAATCATAAAATTCGTTCACTCAAAATAATAATCACATTTAGGGTAGTTGTTATTACAATAATCACAGAATTTAGTTATTCAGATGTGGAAGCATCAAATCTTTCTTGGCAACAAGCGATAACAGCGCAAAATTCTTTTTAAACCTATTCGTATTACCAAAACTACAAAAAATGACGTTGTGTTGCGCAAAAAATATCTATAGGGCAATTATAAACAGTAGGGAAAGGTCAAAAGTCGGGCGGGGCCGACTATATGATACCCTACACCACTATGTGAATTTAGTAGAGCTCCCGTAATAAAAAAAGTTTATATTGAGAATTTATGTGAAGTAGATCATACCAACTTTGATACAAATATCATTGCCGTAAAGTACACGACATGACTTCGATTATATTTATTGAAGCAACCTGAGTTTCACTAAATGATAAAATTCTGTTGAATATGAAAAGATCTATTCAATTTGGGTTGATATTACATATATGGTGAGCAATAACCGTAAAATCGGATGAAGATACATATATATAGAAGCTATAAAAAAAATCTGAAGCGATCTCAATAGAATTTGGCAGATGTATTTGCGAGCAGTATCTGATGCTCGGTGTCAAATATCATATTACGAGTATGAGGGACTACAATTCCAAATCGGATGAGCCATATATATGAGAGCTATAGCTATACAATCCATAGTTTTTCTTAACATTATAATTTTCGTAGGTAGCCGGCCTTCGGTCCAGGCTTGAGACCCCAAATCGGATAAGCCATATATATGGGAGCTATACCTATACGATCCATAGTTTTTCTAAACATTATAATTTTCGTAGGTAGCCGGCCTTCGGTCAAGGCTTGAGTTTTTTTTTCTGGTGTATGCCCAACACCGGCTACGGGATCCATAGTTTTTCTAAACATTGTAATTTTTGTAAGTAGCCAGCTTTCAGCCAGATCTTGAAGTTTTATCCGCGGGGATATGTCTCACACCGGCTACGCGATCCACAGTTTCTCTAAACCTTATAACTATTGGAAGTAACCGGAATTCGACTTTAAATTCAATATCTTCGGAACTACAAAGCTATAAAGGTTAGATACATTTTAGTGGAGAAAATCTCAATTTCATGATTTGCAATACTACAAGAGATGTCAATACATATGGCACCATTTTGGAAAGGCCTGAGTGTAGGCTACAATGTAGTATGCAGTTTTTAATACCTCATAATTGGCCCATTTTCGATATTTTATGGGTTTTTCAAAAAGTTTCGGTACAAAAAATATCAATTTCCTTGTATTACTAGGGATCCGATTGAAACCAACCACTTGTTAGATAGGTTGTTGTTGTTGTAGCAGCTCATACATCTGTGCTCGTTCGGTTTCCATTTTCTGTCTCCATTCGGATTTCATCCAAACATTATCAGAAAGGTTATCTATTATAGATAAATGTGAATGGCTCGATTGCTGTTCCAAACCCATGCAAACCCTCAATATAAAGTGTTTTTTTTTTCAACTACTAAAATGCACTTGCCTTGTTGATTTTATTGGTCTGAAGATGGCCAATGAAATGCCATTTAATATCAGGACATTGGGCCAAAATATCTGGATGTTGACTTTTCTCCACCAATTCTTGAACATAGTTTTCACCGAAATGACGTTGACCCACCGAATATGCATCGATGATCATTTCAACAGGTTTTGTTTTGCTAACAGCGACCAAAAGGGGCTTATCGCCCTTTAGTTCCTACAAAAAAGTGAAACTGTGAACAACAACAAATGTGTGAATTCCAATTGATTTACGACTAACCTTAGGTCTCTGTTCATAGGCTGCATCCACCCACTTCAAAATCTGTTGTATGCCAGCTTTAACGTCTACGTCCGTCATGATGCGTTTTATCATTGATGTGCAAAAATCTTCTGCGTGTGGGCATGACCGAGCAATGCAATGGATATTTATAAAAACGTAAATAAATATAAATGAATGTTCGTGTGTGTGCCGTTAGCGGACAGACGTCCGTAGTCTTATCTATAGAATTTTTGAATATTTACCAGACAAAATAAAATACAATGTAACAATGTTTACTACTTCGAGTGCAGTCCGTCGTTCCGGAATGGACTGGTTCAAATGAACTATTCATACAATGGAAATATCGGGATTAGATACATGTTTAGTTTCTTTTGCGTAAGGTACGGTCACACTGGGCAAATATTTGATCGAAATTTGTTTTCCCATATTTGACTGAACAAATGTGATATTCATACAGAGTTGATTCGATGTTCACATTACAGTCAAATATTGGACAGATTTTGTTTGTTCAAACAGTTTGTCATGTTTGACACATGTTCACATTCGTAAAATATATTTTCCCAATAAATTGTTTGATCAAACTGTGAGGAAACATAAATTTATTTGGCCGAGAGAAAATTTATTTGACAGAGAGAGTGAAAGAGAGACATAAAGAAAATGGAGTTCCGGGTATAATTTATTTGGAGAAGGGAAGCAAATGACCAGCTGTTGTGGAATAAATTTCTTGTCAGAACATTTTTTTTTTGAATTTTTGTATGTTTGTATCACGGTAGAAGAATACTGGTAGTCGAATCGACATAGCTGCTGGGACAATGAACTGACAAAAATATAATGAATGAAATATTATTGAAATTTGTAAAAATTGTTGAAAAATACATATCATTACGTAAAAGAAAACATAGAAAAATCTTCTTATTTTTGTCAAAACATTTCAAAATGTTTGACATATCAATGTTTCAAGCGTTGATGCATCTACCTATATCCTATTCCTGAACCTGCAAGAATCTACTAGTTTGTCAATTTTCTTCGATATAATAAAGGGAAAATCGGTAATAGTAGTAAAAACTTTTACATCTTGCAGTTCTGGAACAGACCATATATTAAATTTTTACTAAACATTCAAATTCAGTTAATTCAAAAATATCAAATAAACAAAACCACCTATTGTATTCGTTTGCTTTTCTATTCATTAAACATCATGTTACAAATGCTACTGTTCTTAAAGCAAAATGCTGCCCAATGTTTTAAACTGATATTTTTCCTTGTTTGACCTTACAAAACATTTGCACCGTCAAATAAATGTTTGACCAAAAAAGAGGAAAATAATTGATCATAGGTGTTCACATTATGGACACACTGGTCAAATTTTTGTTTTCTGGCAAATAATTTTGTTTTCCCAAAATCGGCTGTTTTTGTATTTACCGTCAAATAATATTGGGTGGTCAGATTGTGGCAAAGAAATATTTGACATTTTTCGTCAAATATTTGCTCAATGTGACCTTACCTTTAGTTCATATCATGGTAAAAGAATACTTGTAGATGCATCAACGCTTGGGAGCATTGATATGTCAAAAAATTGTAAATGTCTTTTCAAATGTAATTAGATTTTTATATGTTTTCTTACACGACGTTATTCGGAATTTATTATAATACATGTTTTTCAACAATTTTTACAAATTTAAATGATTTTTCATTCTAAATTTTTAATTCCAAAATATGGCAGTTCATTGTCTCAGCAGCTGTGTCGATGCGTCTACCTATATTCTTCTACCATGGTTCATATATATATTTTAGTTACACTTCATTCCACTTGAAGAAATTTAGCTATTGATAGGCCTGGGCCTTAATTTTAGTTCTATGAAAGTCTTATGCCAGACAATGTTTTCCCATTTTCATCGACGTCTACACACAATTTTTTTCATATGAAAATTGTTGATATATTCTTTGTTGTTTGTTGAAAAGGAATCAAAGGAATGACGTGAAGCCATCTTGATTTGAGAGTTACGAAATTAAGCACAAAGAATAATTTCAGATTACAGAAGGTTATGTACATAGTTTCACCCCCTTCATACCTCTTGCCAATAAACTCATTTTCACACTAGTGAAAATTTTCATAGTCTAGCATAAGACAAAATGTGAAATAAAAAACTTTTGTAAAGGAAAGAAATGTCACATGAAAATTTTACAGGGGAAATATTTTTCATTTCATATTTTCCTAGAATAAGAATCCAGCCCCTGATCATGGTAGAATTTCAAAAAAAAAAAGCTGTTAAAAATAATGTTATGATTTTAAAAATACCGAATGTACCCCTTATATTAGGGTCTATACGACGACGTGGACAAGCATAGGCAACTTATGTATTTTTCAACAATTTTTACTAATTTCAATAATTTTTCATTAATTATTATGTCTTAAATTTTTAAGACATATCAATGCTCCCAAGCGTTGATGCATCTACCTGTATTCTTCTGCCATGGTACGTATTGCACCAAACCCATCTTATCTTATTAGCAGCGATCCCATATCAACATTTCAACCCTATCCGTTCACGCAAACTCTACCATTTAGAATATATCTAACACTTGCTACACATTTCCAAAACCATCTCCTCATATCAGTCCAAACTTTATTCTTGTACATAATACCAAATATAACCAAATGAAGTGCTTTTCAATACTTCCAGTACACTTATAGTTCAAATTTCCAACGACAATCATAATTCAAAATTTATTAACTCTATTTTGGATTAAAAAATAATTCAATACGCTATTATGCAACAGCGTTTATTGTGTTGGCGGTGGTGGCCAATACTGTACTAATACTAACATGCTATTCTCCACCAGATGTCGCCAACAACTTTTACATTTTTTCAATGGATTTGCCAATATCAGCAAAAAAACTGTCAAAACTGAAATGTTTATCAAATTCATATTCATAATAAATATTTAGTTTTTCAATAAAAATTGTTGTAAATAATATAAAACACAACCTTTACAAAATTATGGACCATTTAAAATGTATATCGTAAAAGAATTCCTTTTGTTTCTTCATGATAGCTTTTGTGCGCTGACTATCTTTCTAATAAACCAAATTTTATTGGTATTTCAAGAAGTTGTAAAATTTTCCCTGATACTATTTATGGTATATTCGATTGGAATGGCGATTTTTGATTTCGTAAGTTTGTTCGCTATATTTTCTACTTTTAAGTAAAAAAAAAAACGATGTGCCTTGCTTCAGTGGGATGCTGTGCTCCATGGAAGATTACCATCTTCAGGTGATATATTTCCACAAATTTCCCGTCCAATACCAATGAATTATGAAAGCGATTATGAATTGGATCAAATTTTACGTAATCCGCCACCGAGCCGAAACAGTTTAATCGCTCAATTGGAAAGAGACGTTGAAGAGGCAAACACAAAGATGAAAGAACTTTTACCATCCGACATTGAATTTGAGCAGTTCATTAATGCTGAATTACGAAATTCTCAAATGTCCTTGGATATACAACCTAGATCGTCATATTTTGAAAATTTACCCAACGCTGTGAGGAATAAAGGAAACGGACAATTAGATAATGAAACAAGCGCAGATGATGGAAATAATCAAATAAAATAATATTGTTTCGACAAAGAGTCTTCACTACAAAAATCATATTAAAATTTGCGACTAGAAATTCCAAGATAACATCCAGTAAAATAGTTTTTATACCCTACAACACTATGTGTTGGGGGTATTATAAGTTTGATTGGGCCAAAAATTATGTAACACCACGAAATATTGGTTTCCCATATAGGAAAGTATATATGGATCATCCTAGCTCGCCGAGCTGAGTCGATCTAGCTATGTATGTCCGTCCGTCCGTCTGTCCGTCTGTCCGTCTGTCCGTCTGTCCATGTTAATTTGTAATCACTCTACAGGTCGCAATTATGGCCCGATCTTCACGAAATTTGGAATGGAGGTCGGGGTTGGGCCAGAATAGAACCCTATTTCTTTTTGAGATGATCGCCAAATGTTTAGGGGTTGAAATGGACCAAATACTGGAAAAATGTCGGTTTTTGCAGTAGCTATACAGGTCGCAATTATGGACCAATCGACGCGGAATTTCGCATGTAGCTAGAGTTTAGGACGGGGAAGAAGCCTACCAATTTGGGTGGTCATCGGATAATATTTAGCGGGAAAAGTAGACCATATATTTTGTGTTGAAAAAATTCAAAAATTTTCATTAAACCGCGAATATTTTAAATCCCGGCGAAATCCCAAAGCCATGACAAGGTTACTTCTGACCTTTACATTGATGTTAACATCCAACAAATCGGATATATAGCAAAATATGTGCGATACATATGTCTATCAAAGAAGATATGCTTGGAAAATCTCTTATATGTCGAGAACGGCTGAACAGATTTCGACAGTTCACATTAATTCAGAATGGCCTCTTGGCTGGAAAGAAAAAACGTCTAAAAAATCGCATAAAAATATCTCTCTAAAGATGAAAATATTGATTTTCTAAAATTTTCTCATATTTTTCAATTTTGTCATATTTTTGGCATATTTTCATTTTGAATTAAACATTTGGTAATATTTCTACAGCTAACAAAACTAAGTAGTTATGACATCAGAATATCATATACAGATCGCATTTATGGCCCGATCCTTACGAAATTTTGCATGGGGATAAGATGAGGGTCAGAATAGAAGCCTACTCTTTTTGGAGATGATCGCCATATATTTAGGGGTTGAAATGGACCAAAAAACTGCAAAATTGTCGGCTGGTCGTAATTATCGCCCGATCATCACGCACATTTGAAAGGGGGTTACCGGACATTGCAAAAGCCAAGCAGTTTTGGATGGCCATCCAAAAATATTCAATGTGTGAAATAGTTTGCCAACTTTTGTAGACGAAATACGAAAATGTCGATTCCAGTGACTTTTTGGAGAATTCACAAATACAGGAAAGACGCACTTCTGACTATTTCGTTAACGCTGATTTCGTTGAAGAATATAGTCAAATGTCTGTATCTCATATAGATGCGTTTCAGTCAAAAACCAATAATAAATGTTAATCTTTTGCCACTTCTAGAAGATTATAGGTCTTTGAGAAATATTGGTTCCAGATCTAGGAAGACCATTTAAGTGCAACATCTACCAATAAATTGGAAATGAACAAATTAGTTTAAGTTGCTACTATTCGAAAATTAGAGAACGAAACCTGATGGTTTTCTTTTATAATTTGTCACAATATCTTGTGGAATTCTTTCGAGTATCTCGCCTATATAAACTGTATCGTTTATTATAGTGTTGTAGGGTATTCAACGGTCGGCCCCGCTCGACTGTAGCCTTTGCTTACTTGTTTTTTATAAAATCGACATGTGTAACTTCGATAGTGCACAACAAGTCTTCCTTAAAAAATGGACGATAAAAGCTTTGAAAGTTACTTACGAAAATTCTTTAAAAAATCCACGTTTAGTATTGGGAAGGTCCTTTAGATGTTTTTTAAATTTATGATTTTTGTTTAGTCCTTTCGAAAAATTCTTTAAAAAATTCAAGTTTATAGTTAGTATAGGATAAAAATACACTGCAGAAGTTTTTTAGAAAAATTCATTGAAAAATCCACCTTTATTGTCGAGAATGTCCTTTATCGGATTGGCGATAAATATACAGGGTGAGATAAAAAGACTGCAACAAAGTCAAAGGCGATAAATTTTTTTAAATGAAAGCTAAAAATGTCGGAAATAACATGAAATTTTAGACCAAGTTTAGATTTGTTCGAATTGGTCAACTTTGGCACGAATTATGGTCCTCAAATGGCCAATGAAACTGTCACACGCTGCCCGAATTTTGCTCTGCGGTATTTTGGCCCATTCCCGGCGAAGCGCTTGCTTGAGGTGATCGACACTTTGGTATTACTTAGTGCCAACCTTGCCTTCCATAATACTTCAGACACAATAGCCCAACCGATTGGTATCCGGAGATTTTGGTGGTCATTGTGAGCTGGAAATGAAGATAGAAACCTCATTTTGTAATCATTCTTGGGTGGCGCGTGCTGAGTCCTGTTGGAATGTCCAAGGTCTGCGGCCAAAATGTTTGCGTACCCAAGGCTTTAATACACCCTCTAGAACATTTTCGCTATAATATTCGGCATTTATTCTGATGCCACGATCGATTAGCGGGCGGAGAGCGACCATCTGCTGTCATAGCGGCCCACACCATCAACATGGCCGGCGCTTAAGTTCAGGTGGCCTACCGAAGGTACACATTTACCTATGCTACCAATATCACCGTAACGAGCGATGGTACGAGACACAAAAGATTTATTCGCATTTAAATGCTGGAGTGGCCTAACGATAGCCACTTTTGGTTTTCCAACCCCTAAATATTTTGCGGTCATCTCGAAAAACAATAGGATTTTATTCTGAACCAAATTCCACCACCATTTTCAATTTCGTCATGATCGGTCCATAACTGCGATTACAAATTAACATGGACAGACGGACGACGCACATACATTGGTAGATTGACTCAGCTCAGCGAGATAGGAAGATCCATATATGGGATCAATATTTTGAGGTGTTACAAAATTTTTGGCCCAGTCATACTTATAACACAGTGTTGTAGGGTATAAAAAAGTACACAACAATTTATAAAATAATCATTTTTATAGATGGGAAGTTCTTTAGAAAAATTGTTAAAAAACAAATTTTTAGCTGGGAGGTTACCACCCTTTTCTTTATGAGAATTTGACACCGCTTATCGCTTTAGCTTGAAGCCGTGACCTCCGTACCTTTTTCCCAAATTGAAATTGTTTTATTATTTCCAGACAATTTTATTTGTATTGCCTATGTCAATGAATTGGTTTCAATTTTATCAACCCCTTATTGAAAATCAGTAGTTACTCGAGAACTACGGAAGTACTTCTACTTGTGAGTGTTTAAGGTAGCCAGGTGATAATAGCTTGTACTTTAGCAGTCTGATGTTACTACTATCATATCTGTTGACGATTTTCTTAATTATTTTATTAGACACGATTAGTTAGCTATTTCTAATTGCGTTCAATGACGTTTTTAAATACTTTTGTTTTCGGTATTTTTCCCTAAAAATATGAGTCACTTTAATTAAGTTATATTTTTGTGGCAAATTTAACGATAATCTTAAGTTAAAATTAAATTGTATTAAATTGATAAAACCTCGTATTATTTTTAATCAGTTTCCGTTAGACATTTTGGTGTGAGATATTGCACAAATTTAAACGACGACGTCATAGTTTCTAGGCCTTGACGGTGAATTCCCGTTTTCTGCCTATTATCAATAATTACAATTTTTGTTTTGCTATTTCCTAGGATTTTTTTACGAGCGCCGCTTCATTCAAACAAAACATACTATTTTTTTACAAAACCATTTATTTAAAAAATCCAAATCATTCTGCATGTTTGCAGTTGGGATTGTCGGTTAGAAAACTTATTAAAAAAACCAAGATTGCAATTGGGATAGTCTATTGGAGAAGTTCTTAAAAAATATAGTAAAAATAGTCTCTTAGAAAAATCCTTGAAAAAATACACGTTTCTAATTCGGATAGTCCCTTAGAAAATTCTGTAACAATCACTATTTCTAGTTGGCATAGTCCTTTAAAAAATTCTTTAATAAATCCATGTTAATACCTTTGGTTGTCTTTTATAAAAATTGCTTAAAAATCAACGTTAACAGAACTTTAAATCCTCCCCACCATTTGGAACGAATTTGGCAATTTTCAAAAAATAAAATCCGTTAAAAACTCTTTTAAAATCTCAAAAATACCAAATGGAGCCGTCATATTAGGGTCTAAACGACGACGTGGACATGCATAGGCAATTTTTGTCATAAGCCATTACAATATTCAAATGCGAAACTTGAAAAAAATCGGTGAATAATGTAGCTAAAATCATTAATATAGGGGCTATACAATAGTATTCATTACGGACTTCGAATACCAAATTTGAAATAATTCCGGTGAATAATGTCACCGAATTTCAGGAGGTGCCGTTATATGTGGGCTATACGAAGACGTGGACCTCCACAGACATTTTTTTGTCATAGACTGTATTATCCATTGTGAACTTCAAATACCAAATTTGAAACAATTCCGGTGAATAATGCCGTTAAAATCAACAAAGTACGGAATATCGGTAGGTGCCGTTATATAGGGGCTAAACGATGACGTGGACCTGCGCAGACAATTTTCTGTCTTAGGCTGTAGATTCTGGTGAATAATGTGGCTAAAATCTTCAAAACACCGAATATCGGGAGGTACCGTTATATTGGGGCTATACGAAAACGTGGACCTGCATAGAAAAATTTCTATCATTACGAACTTCAAATTTGAAACAATTCCGGTGAATAATGTCGCTAAAATCATCATAATACCGAAAATGGGGAGGTACCATTATATGGGGACTGTACAAAAACGGTCCACTTTCAATACCAAAAGTACTGTGGACATACAATATACATTTGAGTAAAATTCTATCAACCTACCTTATTTTAATCGGCAGCTAGGGTGATTTCCACAGACGGACGGACATCGCTAAATCGACATAGAATTTTATGCTGATCAAGAATATATATACTTTATGGGGTCTAAATGTATATTTCAAGGTGTTACAAACGGAATGACGAACTTAATATACCCTCCATACTATGGCGGAGGATATAAAAATCTATAGTTGGGATTGCTCCTTGGAAAATTCTTGAAAAAATGTTTATAGTTAGCATCTCCTTTCGGAAAATTTCTTAAAAAATACACTTTATAGTCAGGATAGTCCCTTGGAAAAATAATTCCAGGTTTATAGCTTTGGTTGCTCTTTTTAATAATTCTTTAACAAAACCAAGTTCATAGTTGTGGTTGCTCCTTAAAAAAATTAATTTTATTGAATTCAAACAAAAAAATGTCGGAAATAGCATCAAATTTGCTCCTTAAAAAAAATTAATTTTATTGAATTCAAACAAAAAAATGTCGGAAATAGCATCAAATTTTAGAATAAGTTTAGATTTGTACGAATTGGTCACCCTTGGAACGAATTATGTCCTTCAAACGGCCAATGAAACCGTCACACGCTGCCCGAATGTTGTCAACCTTACTTTCCAAAATACTCACGACACAATAGTCCAACGGATTGGTATCCGGAGATTTTGGTGGTCATTGCGCGCTGGAAATGAAGCGAGGAACCTTATTTTGTAACCATTCTTGGGTGGCGCGTGCTGAGTGCGATGGTGCGGGGTCCCGTTGGAAAGTCCAAGGTCTGCGGCCAAAATGTTTGCGTGTCCAAGGCTTTAATACACCAGTCGATTCCACGATCGATTAATACGAGCGGAGAGCGACTATTGGCTGTTATGGCGGGCCATACCATCACCATGGCCGGCGCTTGAGTTTTGGTGGCCAAGGTAAGGTGCACATTTTCAGTTGACCTCTTTGGCAAGTAAACACGATCATATTGTTTGTTTACAAACTGATGGACAACGAATGTTTTCTCATCGGAGAAAACCAAATTCGGCAGTTCAATACATTAGGTCAATCGAAGCAACTTTTTAGTTCTTTTGAGTCTATTTTCTTTCTGTTGCGGTGTAAGTTTTTGCACTTTTTGAAATTTCAATGGCTTTACCCCGAGCTTATTTTTCAACATTTGCGAATGAAATATTGCGATATGTTGAGCTCACGAGCCATTTTTCATTCTTATCATTCCTCTATTGGAAATCTCCACGACAGTGTGACTGATTAAAAGTTAATATATTGAATTATTAGTTTTTTAGTAATTTCCAACCTATTTTCATTTAAAGGGATTCTTTCCCATAACCAATTGAATAATAACATATTTGCTACTATTTCTTATTGTTATTATTTTCTTAAGACTTTATTTAGATATTCACATCGCTTTTTAAGCCGATAAACCAGCCAGACATTTATCCAACTCAGCATAGGTCTTGGCAGTTTCCTCCACATAGGTGGCCTTACAGGTGTCGGTGCAAACAGTTTCATCATACTGAATGGTTTGATAACGCAGTTGGATGTATTGGGACTTGCTCTTCGAAGTAGTTTGGATCGTATAGGAATTGACAGCGGCTTGTTCGGACTATGTAGAGGCAAAAAGAAAACAAAAATTATTTTGGAAGACTTTTCTTTTTAGGAATTTCTCAAGAGTATGCCACAACTTACCGCATTGAAGTAACATTCGAAAAAGTCAGCTGAAGCCACAACTGTGGAACACTTCGAGTACAGCTGACACACATCCTCTGCCAAGGCTTCAACATTACTGCGATCTTTGGCAACTTCCGATTCGACACGTTGCTTTGAATTGGCCGTAGCATTCAAACACGATCCATAGGCCTGTTCATATTCATCTGTGAGCTGATTTAGCTTCGGCAAATATTCCTCGAAACAAACGATGTTGCGTGGTGAATTTCTCGCCGTTGCCTCCAATAGAAAGCTAGATAATCTACGTTCTGCAAATAGTTGGACATTGTTAGTCGTCGGCAGACTGGCCGCATGGCAGGCGTTTGATATGCCAATCAACAAAGCGAGCACAAATAGGTTCGACATTTTATTTGACAGGTTCTACTGGCGAATGTGACAAGTGAAATTTTTCTACCATCCATTTTATATGATTGACGTTTATGTTATCTATCTCTGTTTGATATGGAAGCATTTCTAAGCGTAACGCAATAGAGATAAAACAAGCAAATGTTATCGAGTTTCAACTGAATACGCATTTTATATCCTCCTATAAGCATTAATTGATTCAATAACGATTCTAAACAAAACTTAATTAATAATTTATGGGTGGAGAACAGTTATTAAAAAATCGAATGTAGTTTATGAAGAATAATTAATAATCCATATACAAGGTGAGATGAAAAAACTACAACCAGCATCGGAATTCAATTGATGGAATTCAAGCGTGATAGTGAGATTTTTATATTTGGCTGGAAAACCACAAGTAGCTATCGTTAGGCCACTCCAGAATTTAAATGTGAGTAAATCTTTTGTGTCTCGTACCATCGCTCGTTACGGTGATATTGGTAGCGTAGCCCGACGTCATAAAAGTGGACGGAAGAAAACAGCAATATCAGCAGTAATGGTTCGCCGAAGAATGGCTCTTGAGCTGAACATATCACAATATTCCATTCGGCAAATATTGAAAAATGTGCTCGGGGTGAAGCCATTGAAATTCCAAAAAGTGCAAGAACTTACACCGCAACAGAAAGAAAATAGACTCAAAAGAGCTAAAGAGTTGCTTCACTTGGCCGAAAGTAGTGAACTGCCGAATTTGGTTTTCTCCGATGAGAAAACATTCGTTGCCCAACAGTTTGTAAACAAACTAAATGATCGTGTTTACTTGCCAAAGAGGTCAGTTGAAAATGTGCAAATTCGGTCGGTCACCAGAACTCAAGCGCTGGCCATGGTGATGGTGTGGGCCGCCATAACAGCCGTGCTCGCTCTACGCTCGTATTAATCGACAGAGGCATCAGAATAAATGACGAATATTATCGAGAAAATATTCTGGAGGGCCTTGGCCTTGGACGCGAACATTTTGACCGCAGACCTTGGAAATTCCGACTAAGCATCATCGCACTCAGCACGCGCCTCACAAAATGAGGTTCCTCGCTTAATTTCCAGCGCACAATGGCCACCAAAATCTCCGAATACCAATCCGTTGGATTGGTGTATTTTGGAAAGCAAGGTTGGCACTAAAAATACCAAAGTGTCGATCACCTCAAGCAAGCGCTTTGCCAGGAATGGGCCAAAATACCGCAGAGAACATTCGGGCAGCGTGTGACGGTTTCATTGGCGTTTGAAGGCCATAATTTGTGCCAAAGGTGACCAATTCGAAGAAATCTAAACTTATTCTAAAATGTGATGCTATTTCCGATATTTTTTGGTTTCATTCAATAAAATTTAAAAAAAAAATGTAAAAATTATGGCGTTTGACTTTGTTTTTTATCTCACCTTGCAAGTATGGGTCCACGTTTTTGGCTATTTCCGGGGTCTTTGTCACAGTTTTCAATTGATATCTCCTGATTTTACCTATTTTGAGGGTGTCGACCACATTTTCCAATCGATTTGGTTAAAAACGTGTAGTTAGACTACTTTGGTATTAGAGAACCATCTTACAGAAAATTTTTAATATATGTACATATTTTTTTATAGTCTGCACATAACAATAGCTTTATAGTCTCCATAAAACATAGACGTTATGTGGACTCTTACGCACAATTTGAGGTGTTGTGCTAATGAGCGTCAAAGGGTGATTAACTTTGACTATTCTCAAGCCAATCTTCCCCAAATTATGACGTGGATAAAACTAAATTGTACTCATCAAATGGCACGATTTTCTAAACAATGCAAATTCCAAATTACAGCTCATTTGAATGGAACATGTAGGTTATAAACCTCTCTCTCAAATTACAGCCTATGACTGAAAAATAGGATCAGGTTTTTTAAAACACTTTAAATCGACCGTTACGTGAAATTATTGTCGTGGGTATTTATTTTTATTTAGTTAACTCATTATTTATCAGATCTGTGAACTATTATGTTTAAAAAAATAAGCATAAAAGACCATGGCCCCAGGCTGGCGACGCGTACTGGGCCAGCTAGTATTATATATTTAAGAGATGAGGGAAATTCTATTGTATGAAAAGACCTCCTGGTGTTCCACAAGAAAAACAACTGATTCTCCATGAAAAGGCCTTCTATGAGAGGACCAATTAGGCTTCTGTGAGAAGACCAGCTAGTCTTCTATTAGAAGATAAAGAAATTTGGTGAATTCGAACTATAAAATTAATTTTTTAAAAAAATGTTTAACGTCGATTTTTTCAAAAAATGTTTCTAAGGGAAGATCCCAACGATAAACGTGGATTTTTAAAAAAAAAATTCCATGGGATTATCCCAACTATTAAAATTGATTTTTCAAAGAATTTTGCAAGGGACTATCCTAACGATGAACGCGGATTTTCAAAATAATTTTTCTAAAGGAATATCCCGTCAGTAGATGTGTTTTTTTAAGATAATTTTTGCAAAGGACTATCCCATCTATAATCGTGGATTTTTTAAAGAATTTTTCTATGGAATATTCCATCAGTAGATGTGGATTTTTTAAAATAATTTTTCTAAAGGAATATCCCGTCAGTAGATGTGTTTTTTTAAGATAATTTTTGCAAAGGACTATCCCATCTATAATCGTGGATTTTTTAAAGAATTTTTCTATGGAATATTCCATCAGTAGATGTGGATTTTTTAAAATAATTTTTCGAAAGGACTATCCCATCCACAACTGTGGATTTTCTATAGAATTTGTCTATCCCAACAATAGGATATGATTTTATGAAAAACCAGCTCCGCCCGACTTTATGAGACCTTACACCACCTTGCATCCTTGTTTTTATGGGAGAATTAAATCATACAAGATATGATTATAACTAGCTATTATAACTAGCTATTATATCCCATATATTGGCAAAGATATTCCTGAGCTGTATTTGATATATTTCCCTGAATATCGTTGTTATGGAGTGCATATTACGGATGAGAAAAAATAAATATAACAAATCGGATTAACAATATATATGGGAGCTATATCTGAACCGATTTTCACCAAAATTGACATACTAGCTTCTAGACTTAATTCGGTCCTATGTGCCAAATTTCATCCCATATTACACAGTTGGTGCACAATAAAAGGCAAATCGGACGAAGTTATATATGAGAGCTATATCTAAATTTTGGGCGATTATCTCCAATTTCAATAGGGTTCGTCTTTGGCCCAAACAAATGGTTTGTGCAAAATTTCATCTGGATCGGGCAATAAATGCGACCTGCACTTTGTATACAAAAATACATGGACAGGCGGACGGACGGACATACATAAATAGAATCAGAATGTGATTCTATGCAGGTCATCAAAAGGAACTATGGCCGACCTCGTTTCCTTTTGCATGTTACAAACAAATGTACAAACACATAATACCCTGACTACCTTGTGGTGTAGGGCATAACAATTCTAAAGCGCTATTCCAACTATTAAAGTGGATTTTTGAAGAATGTAAAAAATGTAACAAACAGACAACGCTATAAAGGAGGTTTTTTGTAAACGACTAACTCTTCTCAAAATATGGTCTCCTATGAGGAAACCTTGTGATCTTCTATAAAAATACCCCCACTGTGTATATATTTTGTATTCATTGAAAATCGGTACTCTTCACTATAAATAATTGACATTCAACAGCAACATTCTAATTCTTAGTACTCAAAAAATAGAGGTCTTTATTGGTATTCATATAATTTGTATTTTTGCAATAAAACTTCTGATTAAAATGCCATTAACCTAGACAACAAAAACATTTTAAGAAGGGGATTTTCTTTTTTTTCATTCACTTCCTAAGCACTGCCCACATTTTCATGCCAAAGGGGAGTAGGATAGGAAATGAAGGAATACATAAAACAATACAATATACTAATATGATGCGTTATTTTTGTTTTGACCATTCGATGTATTAATCGATAAAGGAATGGCAATATTATCTGGATCTATCGGCTAAGACATCGTAAATATACTTCTTTGAAAAAAAGATAGGGATTATTGTGGTGCTCAGAGTCTTATACAAGGTTTGCGATACTATTCCAACTTTGTGAATTGGTTTCTTCCGAAAGCAACAACAAAAAAAAGAAACGAAGATAAGAAAATATGCCAATACATTGCTGAACTATCGTATCGTTTCATATAAAACGAAAGTTATTTGATTCGAAAAAATCAGTTGCACGACTACCATTCTAACGAAACGAAATATTTTCGAAACCTTAAAAAAAAAAAACGGAAAATGTGGATATTAAGTGTATTGACTGTGGCGATTGCCTCCAATGGGGCTCTTTCCATGAATATTGCGCCATTGGTCGAAAGAAATTTGGCCAATACCATTCTGAAATCGAGCCGTTCCATGGAGACAAATTCGCCACGCAATGTCCAATGTTTTTCGGTTTATTTACCACAAATTAACGAGGCCACCAACAAATACGAAGCTGCCTATACCCAGTGTTTGGATACAGCCAGCAATGCCACAAAGGCCGTTGAGGATGAAGTTGCTGGCGATCGTGCCACAGTCACTCAGCAAGCTGGAGGAATTTGTGCCCTCTACCAGTCATGTTCCCAAAAGGAATCTTCCCTTGATTTCTTTGAGTGCTACAACGAATCGGTAAGTCCGGAAAGAGAGAGAGAGAGCAGTCCAAAAATGCGAGGAATGAAATTTCTAATTTTTCCGTATTTTCTCTCCAACCAACAACCATAGGCTGGTTCCGCCGTCACCACCTCTTATGACATTCAAACCTTGTCCAAAAATAGATGGCAATATGTCAACAGTAGATATCAGGTAATTGCTTACCAACAACAGAACTGTACCGACACCTGTGCCGATGCCTATGTCAAGGAGACAACTGCACTCTATGCTGCTTTGGACGCCTGTTTGGCTGGTGGTGGTTTTGTAACACCCTCAACCACATCCGCACCAGCACCCGAAACAACAACTGAATTTACTACCGAATATACTGGACTTCAAACAACATCCCCCGGAATTCCAACTCCACCTCCTGGATTTTAAATATTTCGTAATCCTTTAAAACAAAGAAGAAGTACTTTTTCGGCAATTGTTTATTGTTAAATAAAGTAATGGAAATGATTAGAGCATAAATATTTATTTTTTAAGAGAACAAATTGACAATAATTGTATACCGCAAGAAATCTCAATTCAACAACGATAACCATGAAAGTAATTGTGAATTTTTAAGGGTTACTAAAAACGTGTGTTATAGAAGGGGATTATTAAAAATATTTTTTTCAAAGGATTTTTAAAATATTTTTTAAAGAGAAATCAAAGATAAAACATATAAGTTATTATTAAAAATATTTTCTAACGACTATTTAAGTTTGAAATGTGGATTTTTAAAGATCAAGCAGCATGGATTTTTGAAAATATTTTTAAACGTATTTTTTCTTGGAACATCTAAGTTGTAAACTTTTAAGAAGATTACACTGTGGACCGTAAAATTGGTTACGGAGAAAATCTAACAGGTTATGAAAGTAGAGTTAAAAAAATAAAACACGTTTATCGACGTTGTGAAAAGAAACTAAAATTGAGGGGATAGAATCCCCCCTCTTCCACATTTTTTTAAATTTTCGGATTAAGACTCCTCGTAATTTGTGCATTTTAGGCATATAGTATCATCGGCGAAATTCCAGATATAAATACGAAGAATATTTCTGTCGGGATAGTAGAAAGTCAAAATATTCTACAAAAATTATTTGTCATAAAATTCTACTATAGGTCCTGGAAAACGTCAAAAAGTATAAATCCTACCTAAACGCGTGAAATTCATATATAGTAAATATACATTTTATACCCTCCACAATACATAGTATGGAGGGTATACTAAGTTCGCAATTCGGTTTGTAACTCATCGAAATAATTTTAGACCCAACAAAGTATTTATATTCTTGATCAGCGTAAAATTCTAAGGCGAGGGCAGGGCTAGTCCGTCTGTCCGAAAACGAAATAAGTTAGACAGCTAAAATTTTGCACAGATCTGTCTTTTGTCTGCAAGCAGCTCAAGTTCGAAGATGGGCCATATAACGGTACCGCCCGATATTCGGTATTTTGATGATTTTAGCCACATTTTTCAATTGAATTGTCTGAAATTCCGCACAAGAAGTTCCTTGTAAGTACTTTACCCCCCGAAAGAGAATTGTCTATATAGGTTCACGATGTCGTATATCCCCATATTACGGCACATTCCCGACGTCAAGGAAGTGGACGGAAGAAAAGAGCAACATCAGCGGAAATGGTTCGAAAAGTAAAGAAGCGACTTGATCGAGAATCGAATGCCGAATATTATCGCGATAATATTCTGGAGGGTGTATTAAAGCCTTGGGCACGCAAACATTTTGGCCGCAGACCCTGGACATTCCAACAGGACTCAGCACTATCTTAAGAATATCGAAAAAGCTGTTATATTGGGGGTCTATACGAAGACGTGGACCTGCGTAGGCCACTTTTGCCATAAACTATTACAACATTCAAATACGAAACTTGAAAAAAAAGAATCCGGTGAATAATGTAGCTAAAATCATCAAAATACCGAATATAGAGAAGTACTGATATATGGGGCCTATGCGAATGTCTGAACCTGTATGGACAATTTTCTGTTATAGACTGTAGTTTATATTACGAACTCTAAATACGAAATTTGAAACAACTCCGGTGAATAATATCGCTAAAATCATCAAAATACCGAATATTGGGATGTACCGTTATATGGAGGCTATACGAAGACGTGGGCCTACGTACGACAATTTTATGTCATAGGCTATAGTATCCATTACGAATTCTAGGTACGAAATTTGAAACAACTCCGTTTAAAAATGTCCTTAAAATCGTCAAAATATTGTATATCGGTTGTATGGGGTTATACGATATCGTGGACCCCTATGAACAATTCTCTTCCAAAGGGTAAAGTACTCAGAAAGAACTCCTTGTGTGGATTTTCACACAATTCCTCTGGAAAAATGTGGCTTAATTCATCAAAATACCGAATATCGGGGGGTACCGCTGTATGGGGGCTATTCGATATAGCCCATCTTCGAACTTGACGTGACTGTAGACAAATGACTGATATTTGCAAAATTTTAACTTCATATCTTTATTCGTTTTGACTGTAGCGTGATTTCAACAGACGGACGGACAGGACTAAATCGTCTCAGAATTTTACGCTGATCCAGAATATATACACTTTGTTGGGTCTAAAATTATTATTTCGATGAGTTACAAACGGAATGACGAACTTAATATACCCTCAATGCTATGTATGGTGGAGGGTATAAAAATGTAAAAATTATGGCGTTTGCCTTTGTTGCAGTTTTTTTACCTCACCCTGTAATAGAGAGGTTTTTAGACTATAAATGTGGAATTTTTAATTAAATTTAATATATAATCCAAATACTGTTCAATTTTTATTGAATCAAAAAGCTTCCAACATTTGGTGGTGTTGGAAATGGGGATTCAGTACTCTTCGGTGTTGTAGGAGTTGGATGTGTGGGAGCTGCCGGAGTTGTAACTATTTCTGGTTCGATGGGTGTAATGTTGTTTGGAGGAGTGATGATAGGTTGTAATGTCGGTGGTGTAGGAGGTGGTGGTGGAGGAGTCGCAGTGGACGATGTTGTCTCCATGGAATAGGTTTCGGTTGTACTTGTTACTTCTTCCGTTGTCGTTTTAGTAGTTAAGTCCTCAGTTGATGGCAATTCAGATGTCGTATAAACCTCACCAGAGAGGCAGGCCTGCAGTTCGGCATATAGGCCAGTAGTTTCTTGAACATAGACGTTTGAACATGCATCTGTGCAATTATTTTGATTGTACATTATAATTTCATAGTTCAGTTTTAGGTGCTGTACATTTTTGTATGACAGAATTTCCATGGCATCAGTGGTTGTTTGAACTTCCCGAGACTGTAAAATCGAATAAGGAATTTGAGGGAAATTTAATGAGATCCAAAATTTGGCATACTTACAACATTTGCATAACAATCAAAGAAGTCTTCGAGGAACTCTCCCTCCCTGCCACAATTCCCATACAGATTGCAAATTTGTTCGGCATCATTATCCAATTGTTCACGATCCGAAAGCACACCATCGTCCAAAGCTTGACGCTCGGCATTTGCTTCATTAAGACATTGTAAATAGGCCAATTCGTAGGTATTGGCAACCTCATTTATTTTTGGTAAATACCAAGCAAAACAATCTACACTTGACCCATCTGAAAATTGTGTCGTTTTTATAATAGTATTTACCAAATTCGTCCGACCAAAACACAATGACTTTAAAAAAATAATGCCGATTAGAAAAAGTGTTTTCAACATTTTGCCGCGAACCGTAACTGGCTGGATAATTAGTGTCGATCCATTCAAGGGTTGTGTTTTCTTTCATATTTTCACCCATTCCCACTGCCGCTATGATAAACGCAATTCCCAATAGTGTCATCGATTAAAATATGTTGTTATTATTCGGACATTGATGGGTCTTATCGCAAAGCATTTGATTTGAATGTCATAAATTAGGGCAATCTTTAAAGCAAATCGCGTGGTAGCCTATTGCAGATGGCAGACATTATCTGGCACTTGTTTTTGACGAAAATTATAAAGAATTTCTAAAAATAATGGGAGAATAATACAAATATGAACCAGTTATAAATTTTGTTCATAAATCCCATATAATTTGACTGTTTAAAACTAACGTTGAATAATAAAAAAATCCAATATAAACGTCGATTATCTACGTTTATTTTTTCAAGGAATATAAGAATATTTGTCTAAGCCTCTTTTAAGCTTTAAATGTGGTTTTACAGGGTGAGATGAAAAAACCACAACCAACTTCAGACTGCTGTCTTTTCTAAGCCACTCATGTTTACAAGTATAAAAAAGCATTTTGGTGAGCATTTCCGGAGGAAAAGTTATTCAAGCGTGATAGTGTGATTTATTTATATTTGGCTGGAAAACAACAAGTGACTATCGTTAGAGCACTCCAGCATTTAAATGTGAATATATCTTTCATGTCTCGTACCATCGCTCGTTATCGTGATACTGGTAGTTTAACCCACGTCAAGGAATGGGCGAAAGAAAACAGCAACATCAGCATGGTTCGAAAAGTAAAGCGATTTGATCGAAACCCGCGTCGCAGTGTCTGAAAAAAGGTTTCGTGATATGAACATATCGTAATATTTAATTCGGCAAATATGAAAAAATGAGCTCGGGATAAAGCCATTGAAATACCAAAAAGTGCAAGAACTTACACCGCAACGGAAAGAAAATAGACTCAAAAGAGCTAAAGAGTTGCTTCGCTTGGCCGAAAGTGGTGAACTGTCGAATTTGGTTTTATCCGAAGAGAAAACATTCGTTGACCAGTAGTTTGTAAATAAACAAAATGATCGTGTTTACTTGGCCAACAGAACTCAAGCGCCGGCCATGGTGATTGTGTGGGCTGCCATAAGAGCCGAAGGTCGCTTTCCGCTCATATTAATCTTCCGTGGCATCAGAATAAATGTCAAATTTTATCGCGAAAATATTCTGGAGGTTGTATTAAAGCCTTGGGCACGCAAACATTTGGCCGCAGACCATCAGGACTCAGCACCAGAACGCGCCACCCAGGAATGGTTACAAAATAAGGTTCCTCGCTTCATTTCCAGCGCACAATGGCCATCAAAATCTTCGTATATAAATTTGTTGGACTGTTGTGTCTGGAGTATTTTGGAAAGCAAGGTTGGAACTAAAAAAATACCAAAGTGTCGATCACCTCAAGCAAGCGCTTCGCCGGGAATGGGCCAAAATACCGCAGAACAATATTCGGGCAGCGTATGACGGTTGCATTGGCCATTTGAAGGCCATAGTTCGTGGCAAAGGTGACTAATTTGAAAAAATCTAACCTTATTCTAAAAGTTGATGCTATTTCCGATATGTTTGCTTTCATTCAATAAAATTTAACAAAAATTTAAAAATTATGGCGTTTGACTTTGTTGCAGTTTTTTTATTTCACCCTGCATTATTTTTCAATGACACCTGAAACGTGGGGTTTTAAAAATATGTTTTTCAAGAACATCTAAAACGTGGATTTTTAAAAATATATTTTTAAGGACACCAGAAACGTAGGTTCTAAAAATTGTTTTTTCAAGGACACCTGAAACGTAGATTTTAAAGATATTTTTTCAATGACACCTAAAACGTGGATTTTTAAAATGACATCTGAAACGTGTTTTTTTAAATATTTGTTTGAAAGACATTTGAAAATTGGATTTTTGAAAATAAATAAATCAAACTTTGATTTTTAAAAATATTTGTTTCAAGGACACATGAAGTTATAAACTTGGATTTTTAAAAACTGAAAACTGAAGCTATAAAAAAGTATGTTAAGGCTATAAACGTGGGATTTTATGTCTTTAGTCATATGGCTGCGGCTGTGATTTGATGCGGCCAAAACGTGTTTAATCAAATAAGGGTTTTAGGCGAACAGAAAGACACCCGTAGTCTCTATGGGCCAAATCCGATTCAGAATATTTTGTAATCTAGGGGTGCCCGTTCATCTGATAACCCTCGAAATGAGTATCCGATTTGGTCCAAACTTCGACATCGTAATATTATTATTAAACTTAGATCGAGCTCGAAATTAAGAACGGATAAAACGACACAAGAGTATTTCTAACAACACAAGATTTGGTGTGAAGATGGAATATATGGGACCATTCCTTCTGATACCTTAACCAAAGCAGAATTTTGAGTAATTATATTTCTCCCAAAATGCGAAATAATCATTGGATGCTCCTCAAAATGTAATACATTCCAATAACTTTATTAATACAAGATTTGCTTTAAAGATGAGATATATCGATCAACTCCATCGGGAACCTCCCCCACAAAGGGTTTAAATTTTAGAATAACCAAAACGCTCATAAAATGTGAAATAAGCAATATAAATATTTCTCACAATCAGAGATCTGATGTGAGTATGGAATTTATTGGCCCACCCCTTTCGGTACATCCATTATAAAATCTTCAAAATTTGATTAAGTTAAGTTATTCGTATAAAATTGGAAAAAATTCCACTATATTTGGTACCTTACTTAAATGTCAACCTTTTCCAATTATTACTACATGTCTCATATGGGGTAAGTGTGCTTAAGTTCGACATGTCCCAGTAGTCGGCACTTTTAATTTTTAAGCTCAAATCAATAAAAAAAAATTAAACAGAAATTTTAGTTTGCTTCGAATATAATGTCAGCTATTTTAGTGTACAATTTCGCTAAGAAAAAATGATTTATTCTAATAAAAATTACATTTTTGTCTGTGAAGTTCCTTAGCATGAACGGGACACTCCATATTCTTAAGAAAAGTACAATAAAGACGTCGAATCAGTTTATCTAGACAAAAATATAATATTTTAGTAAATTAATTTATCATTATTATTAATTATTCTTACAAAAAATCGGTTTGCCGAACATGTCATACCGACAATTAGCAAGTGGTGCCGACTACTGACAAAAACTCATTATTTTAATAAAACTCCAATTTTATGAAATTTAAAAAAAAAGTTATAAAATCTTTATTTATTATTGCAAAAATTGTACGAATGTTCGAATCTGAATAAATTAGCTTTGTAACGATTGAATGGATGAACGATTGAAAACGCGAAAATCCTAAAAGTGCAGGCTACTGGTACACTTACCCTATTTACATATAAAGTGAAGACCATTAGTCGAAATGGACAATATTGGCACACGCCTTCGCAACAATTCCCATAAAGGGTCAACAGTTTGAATAACACTGTGCAGCAACTTCCATTTTTTCCAATAAATCAAATATAATAAACACGATGAATATTTTAAATCTCTAGCGAGTCAGCAAAAAGTGGGTTTTGTTTAAATATGGTTAAAAACTTTAAAAGGTACCGTAACATGTCAAAATATTCCATTAAATTATTTTTCATAACATTCAACTATAGGTCCTAGAAGACATCAAGTGTGTGCATTTTACGTAAACGCAAGGAATTCATACATATTAACCAGTAAAGAAAGTCCTAAAGTCGGGCGGGGCCGATTTTATGATACCCTACACCACTTTGCTAATTTAGTTGAGCTCCACTTAATAATTAAAATTTTTTTTTATGGGAAAATTCAATTATACATATAATTTAAAATTCAAAGGACTAAATATACCGAAGCATTTGTATCTTTTAAATTCGGACTTATATTGCCCATTTAGTGCAAAATTAATTTGAAATCAGATAAAGATATATATGGGAACTATATCCAAATCTGAACCGATCTCCATAAAATTTGGCAAAGATATTTCTGAGCTGTATTTCATATATTTCCCTGAATATCGTTGTTACGGAGTGTATATTACGGCTTTAGGTAACAAATACAAAAAATCGGATGAACAATATATATGGGAGCTATAGCTATATCTGAACCAAAATTTGGCATACTACCTTCTAGGCTAAATTCGGTCGTATGTGCCAAATTCCATCCCATTTGGGCAAATATTAGACGTTTGGTGCACAATAAAAAGTAAATCGGACGAAGTTATATATGGGAGCTATATCCAAATCTGAACCGATCTCGATAAAATTTAGCAAAGGTATTTCTGAGCTGCATTTGATATATTTCCCCAAATATTGTTGTTACAGAGTGTATATTACGGCTGCGGAGGACAAAAATAACAAATCGGAAGAACAATATATATGGGAGCTATAGCTATATCTGGCATACTTATTTTCATGCCTAATTTGGTTGGATGTGCAAAATTCCATACTATTTGGGCTTATATTACACGTTTTGTGCACAATAAAAGGCAAATCGGACGAAGACATATATGGGAGCTATATCTAAATTTTTACCGATTATCTCCAATTTCAATAGAGTTCGTCCTTGGGCCAAATAAATTGTGTTTGCAAAATTTCATCTCAATCGGATAATAAATGCGACCTGCATTTTGTTCACAAGAATACATGGACAGACGGACGGACTGACATGCATAAATCAAATCAGAAAGTGTTTCTATGAAGATCATCAAAAGGAACTAAGGGTCTATCTCGTTTCCTTTTGCCTGTTACAAACAAATGCACAAAGACATAATACCCTGACTACCTTGTGGTGTAGGGTATAAAAAGACATTTTAGGGTTAAAGCTTTACTTTGTGTGAGTTAATTTGTATACGACAGATGTATACCCCCTGCTTTGAGTTATGATTATTCTAACTGATGACTCTTTATGGGGGAGTTTTCGAAGCAGTTGGCCAATATTGTCCAATTCATATCTGACCTAAATCTGATATAAATATTACAATGTGCCACATTTTTGACTATACCATCTACTTCCTATACTTTATATGAGATATGTGCAAATTTTTGAAAAATCAGGAAATATGCGTGAGGTACCAGATATTTCGGACCGGAATAGTACAATTTTCAAATACAGATAAAAATATTGGTATGTGTAAAATTTGAAGGAAACGGACATTTATATCTAATTTTATACGAAATCATAAATTTCGATATATTATATATTCACATCAGATATATGGTTAAGAGAAATATTTTGATATAGAAAGTTGACCCCTGGTGAGTTAGGTACCAGAAGGGCTGGGCAGTTATTTATAATCTTCATAACAGATTTTGCGTAAGAAAAATTTTTGGATGTGTGAAATATATATATTTGGATGGAAAACCACAAGTGGCTATCGTTAGAGAACTCCAGCATTTAAATGTGAATAAATCGTTTGTGTTTCGTACCATCGCTCGTTACCGTGATACTGGTAGCGTAGCCTGACGTCAAGGACGGAAGAAAACAGCAACATCAGCAGAAATGGTTCGAAAAGTAAAGAAGCGACTTGATCGAAAACCGCGTCACAGTGGCCGAAAAATGGCTCGTGAGCTGATCATATCGCAATCTTCCATTCGGCAAATATTGAAAAATGAGCTGGGGGTAAAGCCATTGAAATTCCAAAAAGTACAAGAAATTACACCGCAACAGAAAGAAAATGAATCAAAAGAGCTAAAGAGTTGCCTCTCTTGGCCGAAAGATGTGAACTCATCTCCGACATTCGTTGTCCAGCAATTAAGCAAACAAAATTATAGAACTCAAACGCCGGCCATGTTGAGGGTGTGGGTCGCCATAACGGTCTATGGTCGCTTTTCGCTCGTATTAATCGTATTAATCGACCGTGAGACCCCAAATCGGCATCAGAATAAATGACGCATATTATGGCGAAAATATTCTGGCCGCAGAACTTGGACATTCCAAAAGGACTCAATACCATCGCACTCAGCACGCGCCACGCAAGAATGGTTATAAAATGAGGTTCCTCACTTCATTTCCAGCGCACAATGGCCACCAAAATCTGTGGATACCATTCCGTTAGACTGGTAGCGTAGCCCGATGTCACGAAATTGGACGGAAGAAAACCGCAACATCAGCATAAATTGTTCGAAAAGTAAAAAAGTGACTTGAACGAAACCCGCGTCGCAGTGGCCGAAAAATGGCTAGTGAGCTGAACATATCGCTGTTTTCCATTCGGCAAATATTGAAAAATGAACTCGGCGTAAAGCCTTTGAAATTCCAAAAAGTGCAAGAACTTACACCGCAACAGAAAGAAATAGACTCAAAAGAGTTAAAGAGTTGTTTCGCTGGGCCGAAAGTGGTGAACTGCCGAATTTGGTTTTCTCCGATGAGAAAACATTCGTTGTCCAGCAGTTTATAAACAAACAAAATGATCGTGTATACTTACCAAAGAGGTCAGCTGAAAATGTGCACCTTCGGTTGGCCACCAGAACAGCCGATGGTTGCACTCCGCTGGTATTAATCGACCGTGACATCAGAATAAACGAGAAAATATTGTGGAGGGTGTATTAAAGCCTTGAACACGGAAACGTTTTGGCCCCAGGCTTGGACATTCCAACAGGACTCAGCACCATCGCACTCAGCACGCGCCACCCTAGAATGATTACAAGATGAGCTTCCTCGCTTCATTTTCAGTGCACAATGGCCACCAAAATCGCCGGATGCCAATCCGTTGGACTATTGTGGGAGGATTTTTTTGGAAAGCAAGGCTGGCACTAAAAAATACCAAAGTGTCGATTACCTCAAGCAAGTGTTTAGCACGAAATGGGCCAAAATATCGCAGAGCAACATTCGGGCAGCGTGTGACGGTTTCATTGACCATTTGAAGGCCATATTTCGTGCCAAACTTGACCAATTCGAACAAATCTAAACTTATTCTAAAATGTGATGTTATTCCGACATTTTTTGCTTACATTCAATAAAATTTAAAAATTATCGCGTTTGACTTTGTTGCAGGTTTTTTAGCTCGCCCTGTATTTATTGATAAATAAACTTTACTTCTCGTTCTAACTTAACATTACAAAAAAAAAAAAAAAAAAAAAAAAAAAAAAAAAAAAAAAAATTGAAACCAAAATTGTCAGAATTTCAAAATTTTTCATTCCATTCTCTATCAGCTATGTCTATAGTTTGCGGATTTTGCAATTTTCTCAGCTCTTTTGTTCAGTTATTTATTGCACTAATATGGAATGGAATTTTTGCATTTGCATTGCAACTATTTAAATTTTCCATTGTCCTGCTATTGACATTCGTACTTGGTTGTGTCGTATTTTTAATGGTAAGTTACAAGTCCTCTATGCGCTGACGGAGAGGAAACAATTTGAAATGATTTTAATTTTCAGTTCGATGGCGCATCAATTTCATTTGATCAATGGGGAAATGCCATTTCATCGATCAGACGTTTGAGTGATAATCTCATTGAAAGGCAGCGTCGAAGTGATAGTGTGGCTCCAGCTACCCCGATCGCAGTCTCATCACAAATTTCCTCTGAATCGAATAAAGCCAGCGAAGAGTTATAGCTGTAAAGTTACGTGTGTTGGGTGTAAAATATGGTAATAACTCTTGTCCTGAGTGACCCCTTAACACAGATTCACAATTAAAGAAGTAATTGCCCTAAAAATTGTCCTTTTGAATCAAGGTTTATAGTTTGGTCGATTCCGTAAATATCTATTCTACGATTTAAGAGTCTATGACAAAATGTATTTCAAAAATCACGTTTACAACTTAAATGCTTTTTGAAATATATTTTTAAAAATCCAAGTCTATAACATTGATGGTCCATGAATATAAGGAAACGAAATAGACCTGTAGTTCCCTTTGAATATCTTCATTGAATTACATTCTGAGTCGATTTATGTCTGTCTGTCCATGTAATTTTTGTAAACTTTTTAAACAAAGTACAGGTCGCATTAATTGTCTGATTGAGATGAAATTGTCCACAAATCATTTGTTTAGCCCAAGGACGAAACCGGACTGATAATGGGTTAAGATTTGAATATGGCTGTAGTGCCGTAAGTATTGCGGGCCAAATGCGTAAGATAAGTCCGAATCAAATTAATTTTAGCACACATTACCAAGTTAAGTCCAAAAGTATGTCTGGCTATTTTGGTGAATATCGGTTCAGATTTAGATATAGCTCCCACATACATTTTCGTCCGTTTTTAATTCTATTGTGAGCCATACGTGTAATATTCGTCTAAATGGAATGGATTTTGGCACATCCGTATTCGAATTCAGTCCGGAAGCAATCACTTCAAATTTGGCGAAAATCGGTTCAGTTTCAGCTATAGCTCTCATACATATATGTTTCATTCGATTTGGGGTATATATACATTCGTAATATGCATACCACAACATAGATATTTGAAACAAGGTATACCCCAGAAATACTTCTGTTAAATTTCATCGAGATCGGCTCAAATTTAAATATAGCTGCCATACACGGGTTGAGATAAAAAAAAACTGCAACAAAGTCAAACCCCATAATTTTTACCTTTTTTTTAATTTTTTTTTTAATGAAAGCAAAAAAGTTCGGATTAGCATTAAATTTTAGAAAAAGTTTAGATTTTTTTCGAATTGGTCACCTTTGGCACGAATTATGGCCAATGAAACCGTCACACGCTTGCCGAATGTTGCTCTGGGGTATTTTGACCCATTCCCACCGAAGCACTTGCCAAAATATTACAGACACAATAGTCCAACGGATTGGTATCCGGAGATTTTGGTGGACATTGTGCGCTGGAAATGAAGCGTGGAATCTCATTTTGTAACCATTCTTGGGTGGCGCGTGCTGAGTGCGATGGTGCTGAGTCCTCTTGGAATGTCCAAGGTCTGCGGCCAAAATGTTTGCGTGCCCAAGGCTTTAATACATCCTCCAGAATATTTTCGCGATAATATTCGGCATTTATTCTGATGCCTCGGTCGATTAATACGAGCGGAGAGCGAACATCGACTGTTACCAAGTAAACACGATAATTTTGTTTGCTTACAAACCGCTGGACAAAGAATGTTTTCTCATCGGAGAAAACCAAATTCGGCAGTTCACCACTTTCGGCCAAGCGAAACCACTCTTTAGCTCTTTTGAGTATATTTCCGTTTTGTTGCGCTGTAAGTTCTTGCACTTTTTGGAATTTCAATGGCTTTACCCCGAGCTCATTTTTCCATATTTGCCGAATGGAATATTGCGATATGTTCAGATTACGAGACCTTTTTTCGATCAAGTCGCCTCTTTACTTTTCGAACCATGCTGGTGTTCCTGTTTTCTTCCGTCCACTTCCTTGACGTGGGCTACGCTAGCCAGTATTACGATAACGAGCGATGGTGCAAGACACGAAAGATTTATTCACATTTAAATATTCTGGAGTGCTCGCTCTAACGATATCCACTTGCGGTTTTCTATTCAAATATAAATGTAGCTATGTATGTCCGTCCGTCCATCAGTCCATGCTAATTTGTAATCACGATACAGGTCGCAATTGTGGCCTGATCCTCACGAAATTGAAAATGGAGGTTGGGTTAGGGTCAGAATAGAAGCCTACTGTTTTTGGAGACGAACCAAAAACATTTCCTGATTTAGCAGTTGCTCTATTGGCCACAATTATATACCAATCGACGTGGAAGTTTGCATGAAGTTAGTGTTCAGGGCTGAGCAAAAGTTAGCCAATTTGGATAATAATCGGACAATATTAAGCAGGTAAAATAAACCATAACTTGTGTGACACAAAATACGAAAATTTCCACTAAACCGCAAATATTTTTAATCCCGGCTAAATTATAAAAAATTTAAAGGTTACCTCGGACCATTACAGTGATTCTAATAGCCAAGATATCGGATATAACCATTGGGTTATATTTAGCTGGAAAATGAACCACAGCTTCAGTGTGAAATTATTTTGAATACCTAAAAACACGAAGGGCTCTATGACATTATATCAAAAATGAAATTTTCCAAGATGGATTTCGACAAAAGGGTCGGCCCCGCATCATGCCATAGCCATCCATAGCCTCCTCAATTTTGGTTACTTTTCGATGAAAATTTTCAAAAGGCCGATGTACTTGTCAACTTTTTTTAGTTCTATTTTGATAATCCGGGCGGGGTCGTCTTTATGATACCCACTTTGCTAATTTAGTAGAGCTCCACATAACAATTAAAAGTTTTTATGGGAGAATTTAATCATACATGCTATGATTATAATTATAATTTAAAGTTCAAAGGACTAAATATGCCGAAGCATTTGTATCTTTTAAATTCGGACTCGTATTGCCCATTTGGTGCAAAATTAATTTGAAATCAGACAAAGATATATATGGGAGCTATATCCAAATCTGAACCGATCTCGATAAAATTTGCCAAAGATATTTATGAGCTGTATTGGATATATTTCCCTGAATATCGTTGTTACGGAGTGCATATTACGGCTGTGGGTAACAAATACAACAAACCGGATGAGCAATATATATGGGAGCTATATCTAAATTTTTACCGATCTTCACCAAATTTGGCATGCTAGCTTCTTAACTCAATTCGGTCGCATGTACCAAATTCCAAACCATTTGGGCAAAAATTAGACGTTTGGTGTACAATAAAAGGTAAATCGGACGAAGTTATATATGGGAGCAATATCCAAATCTGAACCGATCTCGATAAAATTTAGCAAAGGTATTTCTGAGCTGAATTTGATATATTTCCCCGAATATTATTGTTACAGAGTGCATATTACGGCTGCGGAGGACAAAAATAACAAATCAGATGAACAATATATATAGGTGCTATAGCTATATCCGAACCGATTTCGATCAAATTTGGCATACTTATTTTCAGGCCTAATTTGGTTGTATGTGCAAAATTCCATACTATTCGGGCCGATATTACACGTTTGGTGCACAATAAAAGGCAAATCGGACGAAGATATATATGGGAGCTATATCTAAATTTTTACCGATTATCTCCAATTTCAATAGGGTTCGTCCTTGGGCCAAACAAATGTTTTTTGGAAAATTTCATCTCAATCGGATAATAAATGCGACCTGCATTTTGTTCACAAGAATACATGGACAGATGGACGGACGGACTGACATGCATAAAGCAGCTCAAAAAGTATTTCTATGGAGATCCTCAAAAGTAGCTATGGGTCTATCTCGCTTCCTTCTTCATGTTACAAACAAATGCACAAAGATATAATACCCTTACCACTATGTGGTGTAGGGTATAACAAATGCACAAAGACATAATAACCTAACCACTATGTGGTGTAGGGTATAAATATCTTTGAAAATCTCAATTTATATCTCGGATGACCATTGAAGAAGTTTTCTTTTTAACAATCCACGTCTTTGGTCTTTACAAAAAATAATTTTGAAAATGACTTAAACGTTTTATAGTCCGTGGATAGACATAGAAACATAGAAAGTCCTTGGAGAAAACATTTTAAATAATCCACGTCTATAAATCAAGTTTTCAGTCACCCTGTAAAATTCACAATTATTTTCTTGGTGATAGATTTGAAATTGAGATTCTTTGCGGTATACATTTATTGCCTATTTGTTCTCTTTAAAAAATAAATATTCATGCTCTAATCATTTCTATTACTTTATTTAACATTAAACAATTGCCGAAAAAGTACTTCCTCAATGTTTAAAAGAATTATCAAATATTTAAAATCCTGGAGGTGGAGTTGGAATTTCGGGGGTTGTCGTTGGAAATCCAGTATATTCAGTAGTGTATCCCAGCTGGTCTTGAGGGTTCGGGTGCGGATGTTGTTGAGGGTGTTACAAAACCACCACCAGCCAAACAGGCATCCAAAGCAGCATAGAGTGCGGTTGTCTCCTTGACATAGGCATCGGCACAGGTGTCGGTACAGTTTTGTTGTTGATAAGCAATTACCTGATATCTACTGTTGACATATTGCCATCTATTTTTGGACAAGGTTTGAATGTCATAAGAGGTGGTGACGACGGAACCAGCCTATGGTTGTTGGTTGGAGAGAAAATACGGACAAATTAAAATTTAATTTCAAATTTTTGGACTGCTCTCTCTCTCCTTCCGGACTTACCGATTCGTTGTAGCACTCAAAGAAATCAAGGGAAGATTCCTTTTGGGAACATGCCTGGTATAGGGCACAAATTCCACCAGCTTGCTGAGTGACTGTGTCACGATCGCCAGCAACTTCATCCTCAACGGCCTTGGTGGCATTGCTGGCTGTATCCAAACACTGGGTATAGGCAGCTTCGTATTTGTTGGTGGCCTCGTTAATTTGTGGTAAATAAACCGAAAAACATTGGACATTGCGTGGCGAATTTGCCTCCATGGAACGGCTCGATTTCAAAATGGTATTGGCCAAATTTCTTTCGACCAATGGCGCAATATTCATGGAAAGAGCCCCATTGGAGGCAATCGCCACAAGCAATACACTTAATATCCACATTTCCCGGTTTTTTGTTAAGGTTTCGAAATTATTTCGTTTCGTTAGAATGGTAGTCGTGCAACTGATTTTTTCGAATCAAAAAACTTTCGTTTTATACGAAACAATAGAGTAGTTCAGCAATGTATTGGCATACATTCTTATCTGGGGTTTTTTGTTTTTGCTTTCGTAAGAAATTAATTCACAAAGTGAGAATAGTATCACAAACCTTGTATAAGACTCTGAGCACCACAAAAATCCCTATCTTTTTTCCAAAGAAGTATATTTACGATGTCTTAGCCGATAGATCCAGATAATATTGCCATTCTTTTATCAATTAATACATTGAATGGCCTAAACAAAAATATAACATCATATTGGTATATTGTATTGTTGTATGTATA